CAACTTCTACCGCCGATTTATTAGGGAATATGGAAGGATTGCAGCTCCCTTAACTTAGCTTACGAAAGCGAACGTCCCCTTCCACTTTAATAGCGATTGTAAAGCTGCATTCGAAAAGCTTAAGCTACGGCTTATCACGGCACCGATTCTACAACACTACGACCCCGCTCTCGAGTGTATGATAGAAACAGACGCCTCAGATAGTGTAGTTGCAGGAATCCTCAACCAGAAGCACGGCGAATAATGGTTACCCGTTGCTTATTTCTCTAAGACTATGGCCCCTGCTAAGCTAAATTATGAGATCCATGACAAGGAAATGCTGGCTATTGTGAAGAGTGTAAAGGAATGGAGAGCTGAGCTAGCCTCCACCCCTGCACTTGTCAAGGTTTACACCGATCACAAAGCCCTGGAGTACTTTATGTCATCCAAGAAGCTGACAGCCAGACAGGCCCGCTGGGCAGAGCTGTTAGCAGACTTCCATTTCATCATTTTGTACCGCTCTGGCAAAGACAACTTAAAAGCTGATGCTTTAACACGCCGAAGCAACGAAACAGACTCGCAAGATGCAGTCAAAGAGGCTTCTCGTACTCAAACATTCCTCACAGCTAATAGGCTAGATCCTCAGATTTATAGTGAGTTACGCACATCCTTAGTGGAACTGGCTCCTGTGGATAGAGCTGCTGTAGAGCACTCCTTCGATTTGGTCGACCGCATCTTACAGGCCAATCGAGAGACAGAATCGTTAGCTGCCCTTAGGCTGCAGGCCGAGCGTTCGGATGATGAGGACTTCTCGTTACATAAGGGACTGCTCTTGTACTAGGATAGGTTGGTCGTACCCGACCAGGACTATCTGCGAGTGCACTTAATCCGAGAAGCTCATAATCAGATGTTAACGGCCCACCCTGGAAGGGACAAGACGTACCAGATCCTCCGTCAAAGGTACTACTAGCCTCACATGCTTCGAGATGTAGCCCAGTACGTACGCAACTACCACGCTTGTGCTAGAGCCTCTCCACCACGTAACAAGACTCCTAGTCTCTTGCAACCTCTGCCGATCCCAGAACGTCCTTAGCAATAGCTCTCGATGGACTTTTGCTCCTTTCCCCCTGACAAGCACGGTTACGACAGCGTCTGTGTAATCATCGACCGCCTTACTAAGCAAGCTGTCTTTATACTTTGCCACAAGACAATTAATGCAGAACAGCTAGCTCGCCTATTCCTCACGAATATCTTCCGGTACTACGGACGTCCCTTGGAGATCGTTAGTGACCGTGGCCCTCAATTCATCTCT